CCAAAATACAGTAGAACCAAAAGTCACAGTGGAAAAACCATGAGAATATCAGGTAGGCACTGACATAGATCAGTCAGTCAGTCAGACCGTCAGACAGACAGACAGACAGGGGCTGTGTCCGAAATGGATCTATAACCCCTATATAGGTGACTATATGGCGGTTATTGAGGGGTGTCCGAAAACCTAAGTGATCAATTCCAATGCCCCATACAGGCGACTCAAAATGTCCCATTAAGCATTGCAAAATGTAGTGACCATCCGATGGTCACTCACCGGTGGTGGGCATCCCGTCATGCATTGTGTCTTGCCATGTAGTGTCCAAAACTTCCAGTAATTGAGCTCACTACATCGTCAGCTATATAGTGAAACCCCATATAGGGGTGAGGGGTTAGGGATTGAGTGATTCATTTCGGACACAGACGGAGGCACAGACGAAATGGCCTACTACTCCTACTACTCCTACTAACCCAGCCTCTGAATTGAGTAGGCAGTTCACACTGTACAGTATGCGAATTTTGTGTATGCGAGAAATGCCCACAATTGGCTTCGATTTCTGAGTGTGGAATGGAGCTTGCTTCACGTACTGCTTCTGCCCCACAATGCATTGCGCACCTCAGCTGGTAATATGGCCCTCCTTCCCGAGGCTGAAAAGAAATAGATGGCATGTGATTGCAATAATAATTATATATATATAATATATATATATATATATATATATATATATATATAGATAAACAATATTTAGTCAGTATACATTACACAATTTTTATCATATTTTGATCTTTTTACCAGATTTATTTGTATTTTAAATTAGGATTATAGGTAATGTTTTTAACTATTCGTATAAATTGACTTTATTTATTTAAGTGTCTATTAAAGATGTATTTATTACATCAAGTTTAAGCATCTTCTCATCTCTGAATGCATCATCAAAGTGGTCACTCATATTGAGCACCGTCTTCTGATTAATAAAAATTATTATTGGTAGAGAGCACATGGTTCAGAATATATACAAACGGGGGAGTTTCCAGTTGACAATGTATTTGAGCTTTACTAATTCTTACTTGTGGTTGAAAATCTGATGGTTTCTGAAATTATCATTGTACATGAAAAGAATGTAGTCGGGAAATGATGTATTTGCCAAGGAATAACCGAACAAGGTCATAATAATTATGTTGTGTGTTGGTCATTTTGCAGCCCTCTGCTGCTCATCACACGCCTAGCAGGTGGTGTATAGCATTATCACCATGGATACACAGATGTTTGTGTGATTTTTTTCATCCACTGCCGCCCGGTTTGTGATGTGTAGATGTTGATTATGAAAACACTTTGCAATAATTTTGAAACGTGAAGGGGGAGCTGCTGCTGCCCGGTGTTTACGGTAAATAGACGCAAACACCCACCAAGCGGACGCTTCGGTCTCCGAAAACGCAGAGACAAATTCACAAACAGCCACTATTTCAAACAACTGGGCTCATAATCGTGATTTAAACACTTACTTTCTCGCTAGAAAAAATATTATTATTGAATGAACTTATATAATTTGTCCGGAATGCAGTCGTTCTGTGTAGCTTGTGGTAGGACTATTTAAATTTTCCCGGCGCTGCGTCCGGCCGGCACGAAATGCATTCTGGGGTATTTAGTATGCATCTATATGTAAACGCTCGGGCAGCCGCGGCATACTCAAATCATCTTTGAGTAGTCAGTAGGCAGTAGCTACTGCTTGAGTAGGTAAGTAGATAGTAGGCAGTATGCCATTTCGGACACAGCCAGGGACTATATACATACACACGGGTAAACGAGCAACGAGAGACAGGTGACACACTGAGACACAGGTGCAGCCAATTACTGAGGAGGGAATACACAGGAAGTAAAATTAGACTATACACACAAGGAATGACTACTACAAAATAAAACTGAAAACACTGAAAATTGATCTAAAGAATAAAACACCAAGAACATGAGGGAAACAGAGTCAAACACAAACTGAAAACTCACATGACAGGAACAATAGGGAACAGAAACACTAGGAAAAATACACAGACAATATACATTGAAGTAACAAAACCAGGAAAAACTAAAACAAGAATTAACCATGACAACTGCAGCCTTATTGGCAGCCTAGGGTGAGGAAAAGTCATACTGTAGGGTTTTATTCTAGAGAGAGACCTGTCTCTCTCAAACAGGAGGACTCAGAGTTTGGAGGGTTTTTTTAGGGTGTGACTGTGTGTGTGAGTGAATGAATGATGTATCCAATGTAAAAGCACTTTGAGGTCACTGATAAAAAGCATTCTATAAAATCTGATGCATTATAATTCTCAATAAACCACCATATTTTCCTTAAACCAAACCAAACTCTTACAAATTCACAAAATGACACCGGACTGTTTTCTTGCAACAGCTTAAATCAACTATCAATCATGAAAATGAAAATGCTATTTAGAAAGATAGAGTATGATGTAATTTCCATTAGATGTTTAAAATGAATCCCATCTGGCTTATTCAGCACTGGTTCTCTTTAAAGGGCACGTTCTGATTGGCTGCACAGCAGGAGACAAATGAAGACAAGGTTAAATTAATCAAAGAGGCTTCATTTCTGTTCTGCTGTTTCTCTTTTTGCCCCTCCCTCCTCCATCGTGCTCTTTCCCTCTCACATTTACACACACTCCTCTTCCTTTTAGGTGACAGGTGGGTACAGTCACAGACAGAAATGGCCAGTAATAAAACGGCAGTGGAACTGTCAGTGTTTTTTTTTTTTTTTTAATGAGCCGTAGTGTCACATAGATCTGGAGGCTCTGGCTGTCCCCACTGGGAGGAAAAGACCTTGTCCTTTAGTTTCTCCATAACTTTTTAATGAACAAAAAGCTGGAACTTTATTCTAAGGTAGACCACAGCCCACTCAGAGTGGAGGAAATTGTTTAACCTATGTAAGAGTACTGACGTCCTGAAGCTGTCCCACAGATGTATCAATATATTACATTTATTCCACAATAACATCTTTATTCACAGAGAAGTTGTACTCTGTTCAGGGAAATAAACATGACACTTACACCTCCATGTATCCTTCCGTCAAATACAAGTGTTACACAAAGACTGTCTGTGCAGCTCTGTAGGAATTAAAATTATCAGATTGGCTTTCACAGAAACCACAGCATGTTAAAGTCATCTATGTATGGTGGTTAAGTCACCATCATACTTAAATGAAGAAGATACAACACTTTAGTTAGTTCATCTCCATGCTCAGGAGAGCAGCAGAATTTACAGAGTGTCACCAAAAGGCACTAAGAAGGTCCCACGCCTCGACTCTATCAACCCCAGAGGCCTGAGCTATTCTGGGACTGGAGCTGTATGTTGTTATGCAGAGCTGTAGACACACTTCAATCACTGTGCAGCTATTCTTTAATCCTAATCCTCGCCCCTGTGTGATGCACAAATACATTTCCCAAAATACTTCCAATCAGCAGTCATACATGGCTCCAGGCAGAGGCACCGAAACTGAAATTAGTGCAGCTTCCCTGCAGCACCTGGGCCTGCGAAACAAATATTACATTTTTAATGTGTGTCTCTGTAGTTCAGAGACACGAGGCCCCCGCAGGGTGTCAAAAGATCTGAAACCAGTGCTATTGTTTGACTTGAAGTGGAGACAAGGATGAAAGTACCTGAACTTTACACTGTCATGTTTCGTATTAGATATGAAAATCCCACATCACGTACTTTCTCTCTTACCCCATCCAAATATAAACCTTAACATACCACAACATGATCATAGAGGAAGTCATCAGGTGTACAGGTGTGGACAAAAGAGGGCTCTGTGGTCACAGTCTTGACCCCAAAACACACCATCTAGATAAACTTTGCAGGCTATTAGTTTGGTTATCAGTTCATCAGTTTGGACTTTGTCACACTATTGTCCTATCCAGGTTGAAGTTACTGATTAGTAGCCTGGCTGGGCCATCCTGTTGCGTGAATCACTTGCCGTTCCTTCACACAACAGTCTGGACTTCGGCAAATTGGGAGTGTGTATTAGTGATCAGAAAATAACCGGGCCAATCAGTGACTGTGTTTCCACTGTTCCCCGGACAACAGGGAAAGGCAGCCCCGGATTGGTCCATGTGTAGATTAGGCTTTCTGCTGTATACCGTATACACCGTCATCGTGGTGAAATAAAGTCACGGTGGCAACACCGTGAGATTGCTGAGCTCACGGTGATGTATTTTCAATATTATGTAGCACTGCCGGTGCGTAAAGCGCACGTTACGCCTCAACACAAGCACGACTTGCCATAGTAAAGATATCACTTCACGTTCACATAAACATTAGTGGTCAGTCTGGGCTACAGTAAGACAGCAACAGCAAAATATTGAACCATTTCCTACCTGTGTGATGCTGCGGAGTGCTGGAAAAAACACAATCGTATATTCCATTAGCTCTGGGCAGGCTGCCATGCCCATGATGATGATCCACTGCCCCCTGTAAATGGTTCAGTCCAACAATCAAGTACACCAGTTTTACAGTGCAGTTTATCTCCTCTGATTGGGAGCTGATAGCTTACTGCCTAGAAACAGTTTATTTTCCTGACGACCACACACACAACAACATTATTGAGATGATTGAGAGTTTGCTTGAAGCTTGGAACATAAAGATGGAAACTGTTGTCTGCTTTACCACAGATAATGGCTCCAACATGAAGAAGGCAATTGGAGAGAGCCCTATGCAGTGGTTAAGCTGCTTTGGCCATAACCTCAACCTGGCCATTGGGAGGGCCACAAAACTTCGGAGAGTAGAGGATGCAGAGTGGTGGTGGAAGCCTTTTCACGAAGTTGGAAAAAGAAACGGGGGTTCAAGGCAAAGCAGAAAGAGCTGGGGTTTGATACTGATGGTGATGGCCATGCTCTGATCCATGATGTCTCAACCAGGTGGGGCTCCACCTTCGAAATGGTGTCAAGATTCCTGGAGCAGAAGGAGCCTATAACTGCTGTTTTGACTGCAGATAGGAACTCATGCCATCTCATACCATCAGTGCCCTGGAGGACATCTCCCAAGTCCTTGGGCCCCTTCATAAGTTCACAGATGCCCTTTCCGGAGAAAAAAGGGTCACCATATCAACTTTGAAACCTGTCATGGACCACATCACCAGAGAGATTCTGAAGGATTCTGACGAAGATTCTGTTCTCACCAGTCAAATTAAGCAGGCAATCAAAGATGACTTGAATGACCGGTATTCAGTTGATCAGCTGCAACTCATAGATCTCTGTTGTTTCATCGATCCAAGATTCCGTGCTACCTTCTCTGCCAATGTTGAAGAGACAAAGAGGATCTGCATTAAAGAGGCATTGAAGTTCATACCTCCCACAGCAGCACCCCCAGGTATGTTCCAATGACAAAAACACAATAGAATCAATTGGTGCAATAAATACAACTAATTTTCAACAAACTATTTCTGATTTTGACATCCCCAGAGCATGCACCAAGAGAGGCTCCTCTGGAAATGGCAGGGCCTTCAAGCAGTGAGAGGCAAGCCACTGAAGCCAACATGAACACACATACAGGAATCCTGAAGCACATCACCGCCAGACGAGCAGCAACATTACACCGGGAAGACAGTCCTGCAAGTGGAGCATCTCAGAGCCCAGAGCAGAAGTTGGTGACGGCCAGGCTAACTGATTAGAGCCACTATAACTGGACAGAGGTGATAGAGAGGTCACAGTGACTTAAGAAAAAGTATCTAGTTACTTTACATTCCAGCTTTTGTGATGTGTTTTCCCCTGGGGCTGCATTATTAATCGATTTTAAATCCTAATCAGATTGTGACGATGTTGAAAAAAAAAATCCTTAAATTGATATTCCTCTCTGTCATGTCTCATGCCACACCCACCAGTGAAAATAAACATGGCATTTGCAAAAGAAGACAATAATTTTGTGGCTATATAGGGCAAGAGCAAGTCAGTCATGTCAAATTGGTATGGCTTCGCAGTTTCGGATGAAGAGCAAACCACTCCCTGCTGCAAAGTCTGTCTGAAGGCGGTATCAACTAGGTTTGTCAAAGGTATCGATACTTGCATGCCATATTCAGATACAATACTTATTTGCCATGGTATTGATACGACTGTTAGTGTGCCCGAAGTGTCCACTGCGTGCACTAGAAGCAGCACAGCCGACTCGGCAGACAGCATCGGGAGAGCCCTCACTGCTATCCCCTCTTGCTGTACCACGTTTTATTGCTGCTAAGTATGGCCAGTGTGGCGGCAGGAGGGCCAAACCAGCCAGTCTTGGTTGAAAGAAAAACAGAAAGACTTGCAGCTGCCTGAACACAGAATAATCCACTATATGCGAACACACTGGGACTCAGTGTTTGAAAGGGTGGAAAGGTTTCTTGAACAACAGCAAGCAGTCTGTGCAATTTTGACAGATGACAGGAAGAAGTGGTACCTTATCAGGTGTCAATCATAAAAAACATGAACCCCCAAATAACTTTTAAAAACGGAACTTCACAGAAAAAAGAGGACTTGAGCACAAACCAGTCTTACAATAACTACATGTCAACATCACAAGCAGGGGGGAGAAAAATTTATGTTCTGTGTAATAAATTTCTAAAGTTTGTCCACAGCTCCATAAGCTTTGCTGGCGGAGGCGGGATTTATGACCTATACTGCAGCCCGTCAACAGAGGGTGCTGTTCTCGGAGTGGCTTCACCCGGTGAGGAGGCAGACTCTGTCCATTCTATATACAGTCTATGGGCCTACCCTTAACCTGGAAGCTACTTTCTTCTTTAACAACTGAGGAGGATGGAAGCCATGACTTCCACCTGAAGCCATAAATATCAGCTGAAAGTAAAAATAAGAAACGATCTGGAGCACAGATATGAGGACAAGCATCTACAGCTGGCATTGAACACAGCCACCTTTCTTGATCCCAGATTTAAGGACAGTTGAACCACATTAAAGTCTGCAGACTCAGAGTCCCAGGTTTGCACCTTCAGCCTTGCCTAAACAGCCTTTGAATGTGACTTCTGTAAACATTCAGGGAGCAGCATCTGTAGATGATGATCCAGAGCGCAGGTTCAGGAATGAACTGACATTGTATGAAACCATGCCAGAGCTGAGTGCTGAGAAGGACCCCCTAGCATGGTGAAAAAAACACGAGTGCCTTGCCTACTGTTGCCTGTCTTGCCAAGAAATACCTGTGTATTGCTGCTTCAAGTTGCGCCTCAGAGTGTGTATTTAGTACTTTAGGGCTCATTTGCAAACCAAGAAGGGCAAGACTCACAGAGGAGCACGTTGACATGCTTGTCTTTATTACAAAAAATCTTCCAACAGCAAAGAAAATTCAGACCAGTTCAAACTAACGGACTTGTGGGGATGTGACTAAGTTTGATACTTGTGACTGCTGTGGGGAAAGTTTGGCTTATGGTGTGTAGCATGTCGTATGTAGCATGTAGGGTGTGTGTGTGTGTGTGTGTGTGTGTGTATGTGTGTGTCTGATCACTGAGTGTGTGTGTGTGCTAGCTGCACTCAGTATTGGGGCTGCTCCGTCACACACAGAAACAGCGTTTCAGCTGACTGTAAGTTGTACTTTTTGAAAATGGGTCAGAAAATGCATATAGGCATCCAAAATGTGGATGCCTATCTGCACCTCTCAAAATGATTATGTCACACGCAGCGTATCTTCTATATGGTGCCTGCATGTGTTCAGCCAAAACAACCTTTATACGCCTGCTCTCTACTCTTCTTTTGTCTTTTGAAAATTTCCTCTGCAGCGTTACAGCACCACTTACTGGCTTGGCATATGCACTACATTGTTTTCAGTGGTTTTATTTTGAGAGATGACTGAAAAACATTTTTTATTAGAATGAAGTTTGGTGAAGTTGTCACTGAATAAAAAACTGAAATAAAAAATTGAGTTTTCAGAGAAAAAAATCTGGATTTTATTTTTGGCCAAAGTCGTGCAGCCCCAGTTTTCCCCTGACATCAGTTTGATTAGCTGCACCTGTGTGCTTATCTCATAGGTTGTAACTCAAACTCAGAGTACTCAACTGATATTTTAAATCTGTTTGACTAAAAGCGCAGAGTGTTTTTGGCTTGTTAACTGAGCTGTCTGGGATTTATCTGGAGTGCAATGTACTGTTTGTGCAGAAGCAGGGACATAACTGTTAAAAAAGGCACATGATAAAAGTGTCTATTAACATGGTCAGTCTTATTGGCACGATGCCAAAAGTATGATTTAAGGTCGTGACTTTCAACTGTTACAAGATCTTTCTGGGTTGTTGGCAATTCAAGATATACAAATAAATAATCACAGAAAATATCTAAATGGACAGTTTGGATGGATATTTTTGTGTTTGCTGGTGTACAGAAGTGTCTCCAGAAGTTTTCTCACACCACATGAGCCATTATGTGCACTTAGACGCTCAAAAAATTGCAGTTACTTTGCATTATTTAGCATTTTCCTGCGCCCAAACATAAACAGCTTCGACAATAATTAAACTGTAATGTATGCATCAAGCTGAGACTGTGTCTGAATGTGTATTTGCAGGTGTTTGGTATGAGTTAAAAGAATTGGACTGGAAAGGGTGTAGAAAGTGGGGTACTTAGGGGGAGTGTCTTAATTGTTTGAACCTGAGCAGCAGGATCAAAAAAGTGTGCAGAAATAAAATACTGCAATGCTGCAGCTGTGACAAAAGTAAAGTTATTATTATTTTTTTTTTTATGGTAACAAAATGTATATTCAACTATTTAAACTGTTTTACAGGTGAATCATTTTCTCTTTTGGTCCAGTGATGATAGTTTTTCAACAGCATGATTTTTGTTCAGAGAAAAAAAAAAAACACTTGAATTCCTCCCGACAGCTGTACTCTGTAAGTACCTTTAGAAAACCTTCCTGAGTGTGAGCATCAAGGCTGAACTGTTCAGCTCTCATCAGCAATAAACACAATAAAGTGTCTCTTGCACTCTTGCAGTGCAAAGCCAACTCAGGTAAAAACTGTATGCACGCACGCACGCACACACGTCTGACCACTTCAGAGCAGAAGAAGTTTAGTATTCAGCTCTGAATAACAGTCTGCACAAACTGCTATTTCTTCTGGGTCTGACTGAGCTGAGGGGATAATGGGACAGAGGTGTCTGAGTCCTGAATTCATAGTATCATGTCAAGAGCTGGACTCTCTGGCCAGTATTAGAGGTCCATACTTGAGTTTTGGAAACCTATTACAAAACTTTTTATTCTATTCATCTGTATCACTTCGCAGTATGTGTCCTCCTGCTTTTTTTTCAAGTCTATGCTTTATGTCCCTGTGTGTAGTCCCGAGTCCTACACACCAGGTGTCCATAACTCTGCACACGCTCTTCATAACCTATATTCAGTGTCTTGTTGAGGCAGATCTTTTCTGCTGTTTGATTTGCAAGTTAATTATTTGAGTGGATGAGAAATAGGGGTCAGATTGGACCTTAGATATATAGATAGTGAAGCTAAAATCTAGCCATGTTGCTTTTAAATTTTTGAATGTGATGTGATGAAACACATAAGTCTAAATCCTATAATTCAAATGATCAAAGTGGGGCTGTCAAAGTTAACACATTAATAATGCATCAGGAAAGTTTTTCTTTTTTACTTCTATATACGAAATAAGAAATAAGAAGAAATTTATTAATCCCCGAAGGGAAACTCAATAATAATAGAAGTATACAATGCTACTTGTAGTAATTATTTGAAATTTCTGAAGAATCTCATCATAATGTACACACCCTCCTTGGCCCTTTCAAAATTTCCCAGAGGGAATTTTCCAGTTTGTCCTATAACTCTTTAAGCTGTAGGACAAGTAGCAAATCAAAATTTGTCTGGAAGAGGATTCACAGTGGAACAGTGGTTTCTATACTGTTGTATAGGGGCCGGTGCCTCATCCTGTTTGTGATTGTGCTGCTGACTCAACTGGGTTTATTGAGGCTTCTCCAGATAAAAGTAGATTTAGGCCTTATATACACACGTGGCTGGATATTTTTTATAAACAAGTATCCAATCTCCTCTGTTTAAGAAGAAAATCACGTACACACATTGTGTTCTAATAAAATCGCTTCCACACAAAACTGCATAAATGTGCTATTGACCATGGTTATGTCCATGCCAGACCTGGAGTTGGTAGTATTGCCAAAAAGTTAGACCCATTCTATCCAGTCAGAGCAAGCTTCCCTTTCTTTTCATCATTTCCCCAAACATGAAACATAGGGCTGTGCAGTTCGTTCGTGTGGACCGACAAAGGTGGAACTGCTTTTAAACATCTCTTTGGAGCATAAGGTCAACAAGACACAAGATCAACTGCAAAGCACTCCTTCTTCTTTGTTTCCCATAAAAATAAATACTCTGTAAATATCTGTGCCATCCACTGACATAAACAAGGGTGTATAATATATGACATTTATCTATTACTTGTCGCGGACACTGACGTTTGGGAATTTAAAACTCTGGTTATCTATGTCCACACGAAAATGCAAAACTAAGGGTTTCCAAAATCTTCACTTTTACCGGAGTTTTCCAAAAGCACCATTTTTAATAATGTCATCCTGTGGTTTGGTGTGGATGGCAGGACAAAACATACAAAAATATGTATTTGTTTTAACAAATACTCAGCTACGTGTGGACAAGGCCTTGCTACACCATTGCACTGACCAAAATAAA